GAAAAACTTTTTTACTTTTCACCACCTAGCAACCACACAGAAGGGGATAGGCAAATACCGGGAAAGTTGTCAGGCCAACTCCAACATTATAGCGGCATATTTTTCATGGACAAGCACCATTTAAATGCTCTTAACAAAATATAAAACTACAGCTTTAGCACCCAAGTAGACCTAATCAAGATACAATTATCATTCCAGCTAAACAGTAGCTTCAGAATGATATCTGCTGCCAAAGATATCAGGCTCCTCACGGAGGAGAGGGCTACAAATAAACTATATTAAGACCTTCTTTGCAGACTTCAAACATGCACTTCAAACATCAAGCATCTAACACAGTCCTCGGGCAACACAGACAAAACAGCGGCTGGTTTTTGAGGCACCTGTGCATGCCGGCTTTGGTCGCATCCCAACACTTAATGCAACCATTATCTCCATAAACCCTTTCTATACGACACTCTTTGAGAGGAGTTAAATGATAAGAGTGGGAAACGACACTCATTAACTAGTACCCAGCAGGCCAGTTGCTAATGTAAAACCACCTCCAAGGAAAATTCAGGGAGAAGGATTTTCTACCGAGGCAAAATTCTAGACTGCTCTCAATTAATTCCAATTAGGTCATTTAATGGCTTCCCAAGAGATTGGATCATCTCACCTGCCCTCGTTCCTGCCATTCTGACTGAAACTTTAACCGAAAAAGACAGCTGTTAAAAAAAGAAAGTCTCCATCTGATCTGCATGTGTATTTTGTGCAATAATACATGTAAACCTTAGACTCTGTTGGCATGTTTGCACCACCATCACTGTAATTGGACGTTTCACCTTACTTAAGCAAAGCCATCCACCAACATTCAGCTAGCACTCAGGAATCTGCTTAGAATTGTAAATGTTGGCACAATTAGGTTCTGAAAGGGTTGGAACAAGTCGGGAACATGCCGCCAGAGGTAGAGCTATTTGGTAAATATGACAGCTGTTGGCACAGGTATCTCTCAACCGTGACCAAACACATCGTTCCCCATTAAATCCGCTCTGATGTTAAAAGGTTGTCGTGCAAACAAGCTAATTTTTCAAAAACGCCAATGCTTTCCTAGGCGAGAAAATAGCATGAGCTGACAGAAAGAGAAAAAAAGTGAGACACGTTTTTGGTACTGGGACAAAGGTTGTGCTTGGGATTTGGTGTATTTGCAGTGCGTTTATTTCAGGCCGAATAAACAAAATCCCAAGACAAGTGCATTTCACCGATAGCCAGCATGCAGATTTATTGCCAGAACCGATCAGTTTCCTTTATAATCTCAGAGCCCTGTGCAATCAAATGTGTGCACCCAAAACAAAATGCTTTCACAATTTCAAGTCATGCGTAATGCAGTTTGTAAAACGAAGTATGATGACGTGTGATAGCAAGTTCAATTGAATTCCATTACAAGAATCTATCTCAGGTCAAAGTCTTTGGGCCAAATCTGACCCATTTTCCCTTCATCACAAAAAGAGTCATAGGAGACTGCAGTGACTTCATTGTTAAACCCTCATTAGACATACTTTCTGATTAGAGAATGGACAGTTCCCAAATAAGGACGTTACAAGCAAGGTTTCATTCAGACAATTCGAGAGGAAAACCATTTTAATGGGGGTAAATTGCATTATGGTGGTCTCCTGACTTGCCAGAATGGAGAAATTTGCCTAAAATTGGTGCAATAAAGACTAGTAAGAGTTCCAGCATAACCACGCTCACTATTGAAAGAAGTAGCCAATAAGAAGCAAACTAGAGAAATAGACTTATTTACCATTGGGTAAATAATTTTAATGGGAGTCAATTGCATTGTGGTGATCTCCTGACTTGCCAGAATGTAGAAACTGGCCAATAATTGGTGCAATAAAGGCCAGTAAGGGTTCCAGCATAACCACGCCCACTATTGAAAGAAGTAGCCAATAAGAAGCAACCTAGAGAAATATTCATATTTACTATTGGGTAAACCATTTTATTGGGGGTAAATTGCATTGTGGTGGTTTCCTGTCATCCTGTCATAATGGAGAAATTGGACAAGAACTTGTGCGATAAAAGTTAGTAAGAGTTCCAGCATATCCACACCCACTATTGAAAGAAATAGCCACTAGGGCAAGCAAAAAAAGGCAAAAGAAAAATTGACTTAATTACAATTGGGTAAGCCATTTTAATGGGGGTAAATTGCATTGTGGTGATCTCCTGACTTGCCAGAATGTGGAAAATAGCCAAGAATTAGTGCAATTGTTTAAATCGGTGCAATAAAGGTTATTAAGATTTCCCGCATAACCACGCCCACTACTTAAAGAAGTAGCCAATATGAAGCAAGCTAGAGAAACTGACTTCTTTACCTTTGGGTAAACCATATTAATGGGGGTAATTTGCTTTGTGATGATCTCCTGACTTGCCAGAATGGAGAAATTGGCCAAGAATTGGTGCAAATGTTGAAATTGCTGCGATAAAGGTTAGTAAGCATTCTAGCATAACCACGCCCACTAGGGATGCACGATATTACCGGACCAATATTGGAATTGGCCGATGATGGCTTTAAATGTAAATATCGGCATCAGCCCGATATGAAAAATGATGCCGATATGTCTTGCCGATAAGAGGAATACATTAACTCACATGTGCTCAGGGTGTGCTAGCGATTAGATCACGTCAGCATTGTGGCTCATTCTTGAAGCAAAGTTTTGCCTGAATGGTGATTAGATTCACTGTTTTGGATCGCTGCATTTAAACTGAGAATGCACGTTGACGCGCTCGGTGTATGATAGAGTAAACAGTAATAGCACGTGCAGCGGCAGCCTCCCCCGGGCAGTGTTGCCAACTGCTTTCAATTGAAAGTAGTTCAAACTGGCAGCTAAATGTCACTAGATGACATCATAATGGCAAATTCACTGATCTATATAAAGATGAATATAGATCAGTGGGCAAGATGAGAACTTAGATAAGGTTTGTCCAAGCCGTTGCTATATTTGTCCCTAAACTTTTGAAAAAAGTCTCAAAAGGGGTGGGGAAGTCGCTAAATCTAGCAACAAAATTGCTAAATTGGCAACACTGCCCCGTTTGGTAAGGAGTTTTAATTCCGTAGGGGGCGCTGTTGGCCTACTTCTAATAAAATGAAAGCAAAATACACAAATAATATTTAGACTGTTTCTGATTAAATAAAGCAGTAATTGATGCCATAAAATCATGAGTATGTTTTGATTTAAAAGTCAGAAGCTATAGCTTACATGAACAAAAAAAAAAATCACAAACGACACTTAAATTGAAAAAAATAATTTCATATATAATGATTTATTCATTAATGTGTAATATGTTAGATTTTTAAAAGAAATTATGAGCTCTAAAAGATTTTCAGAATTTTTACAACTCTTTTGCTTTAGACCATCTCCAAATGTTAAATCTTAAAATAAAATGTTAAGGTTACCACTGCATCTTTCTGTAAAAAAAAATGCAGTGATTAATTTATAGTTATTTTCAAATCTTCAATGTACTGTCATTATAAAATAGCTTTATTATAGTTTATTTAATTCTAACAAATAAGTTCTTGTTAAAAACTAACCAAAATTAAAAATAATTATATATCGGCATCGGCTATCGGCCAAAATTAGTTGAAAATTATTGGCACATAGGATATCGGCAAAAATCCAATATCATGCATCCCTAACGCCCACCATTGAAGGAAGTGGCCAACAGGAATCAAGCCAGAGAAACTTACATATTTACCATGGGTAAACCAAGGTAAACTGCATTGTGGTGATCTCCTGGCTTGTTAGAATGGAGAAATTAGCCAAGAATTGGTGCAATTGGTGCGATAAAGGTTAGTAAGAGTTTCAGCATAACCACGCCCACTATTGAAAGAAGTAGCCAATAGGAATCAAGCTAGAGAAATGGTCATATTTACCATTGGGTAACAGCTCTGGCTGCAGTGGCTGATGTGGGGTACTTCTTTCCTCTGCATACACATACATACACACACACACACACACACACACACATACATTACAAAAACACTGCTTAGTCTTCCAAGATTGACTTTATAAACTGTATAAAACACCCTGGCCAGTCAATTTGTGTTTTTAGTTGCCCTAGTACTCAAACTGACCCTTTTATGAGGCTACAAGAGCAATTTAGTTCATAAACTCCCTGTCAAAAGGCCAGCTTAAACCAACCCAAGGTTGTGTACTGATTGAAGTTGGTTTAGATCCCCTTAAACCATCAAACTAGGTGAGCCTGAGCAGTCCAAAATGGTGTTTAACATGGTGTTAAATCAGTTTTGTATACTTTCGTACAGAAAGCAACAAGGCAGAGTGTTAGTCTTCTCATGCACTGACAAGACAACACTCTCAACACAGAGCAGATAGATGCAGACCGGTTAGTGTGAGTGAGTTCAAACACTCAAAATGAGCAAGAAGGCGTGAATTCGTGTCATGCAGAGATAAGCTGTGGCAATGATTCCCACTGCAGTTCATTGAAGACTTTCAATCACTTACCTGCGATGTGACTTCTCAGTTTAAAAAAAACTACCAAGTAACAAAGCCTGTCCGACCGAAAGGTGCAACACTGAACTGCTTATGAAACAAAGGGTTTTAAACAATACGATGCCTGGGGATTGAGTATACCAGCCAGATGTGAGCATCTGTTTCGGATTAGCATCTCTCTCAGGCTAAGAATCTCCACAACCCTTTTGTTTGCTAAGTGTCTTGCTTCTACGGAAATGTTCGTGCAAATCCGCTGGCTTATGCGGAGGGCTTGGGTATGTCGTTTGATTGTAGGATCACATGAAGATGCCTGGACCCATGTGGAAAAACACTTAGCGGTTAGGTGTTAGCTGTTAGCGTTTTCACATTCTGTTTGGATATATTAAGAGAGAATTCCACTAGAAAGTGAGCTTCACTTACTACTTTCTACGAAGAGAAAGGTTCAAGGCATAACTTTATGTTACTATAGAAGACATACGGCTGTTTCCACAAAACATATGACATATTAATTTTAATCAGGAATGTTTCTTGAGCAGCAAATCAGCATATTAGAATGATTTCTGAAGGATCATGTGACACTGAAGACTGGAGTAATGATGCTGAAAATTCAGCTTTGATCACAGCAATAAATTACATTTTAAAATATATTCAAATATTAAACAGTTATTTGAAATTGTAATAACTTTTCACAAAATTTGTGTTTTTACTGTATTTTTTAACTAATAAATGCAGCCTTGGTAAGCACAAAAGATTTCCTTTAAAATATATTTAAAAATCTTAATGATTCCAAATGTTTGAGTGCAATTCAAATGATCTCAGAAGTATTTTAATCTCTCTATGTGGCATTTGGTAAAAACAAGCCAAACAAACAAATCAATGAATTGCCATTCAGGATCACATAAACTGGAAACTTATTCAAATATACAGATATGATCTGGCTACAAAGAGCATAATTATCCATTGACGACCAATAAAAAGTAATTGTGTTTTCTGACTGAATAAAATTGTGCGCAAATAACATATAATCCTCAAATATTTCATTATATTATAGTATTTACCAGCATCCAATTTTGTCACCACTTAGCATAGTCGCTAATGGGACCATGTACGACTGAAACATAGACTGTAAAAAAAGATGGACGACGCGTCTCCTATTCCTTCCACTATAGAAAAGTGAAGCCAAAGCATCTCAGTATGACCGCTGCACCACTTAGCATAGTCGCTAATGGGACCATGTACGACTGAAACATAGACTGTAAAAAAAGATGGACGACGCGTCTCCTATTCCTTCCACTATAGAAAAGTGAAGCCAAAGCATCTCAGTTTGACCGCTGACATCTTCAGTAAATGACGTCATTTGGAGCCAGAGTCTGCGCAGTAGAGATTAGTTTGGAGCCAGAGTCTACGCAGTAGTGTGGTGAGGTAGAGCCGCGGTATCAAACTCCCGCCCAAACTCCCGCAGACCCAATTAACCATAACGACACGCCCCGTTTTTATAGATTCAATTTTCTAGCTAAAATCAAACTTATCACAAAAACGAACAATTGAACATATATCAGCGTGAAAACAAATACCTTAAAAGACCAAAACCATCATTCAGAAAATTGTATTGGAAGCATAATTTATTTTTTTATTTTGACTCAAGTCCCATTCGTTTACATGGAGAGGGTGGGTTTTTGACCTGTACTGCAGTCAGCCACCAGGGGGCGAACAAAGATCCCGCAGCTTCACTTTTCAGGACGTGTGAGGCCCACCCGGACTGAAACTGCCACTGAGATGTATGGGAATGCTAACGCATTGCTCTCTTCAGGTATTATTTGTCAATATTACACGGCTCTGTGGAATACTTGATTCTGATTGGTCAATCGCGACATTCCGAGGTATGTTATCCCTCGATAACAACCGGTAACAACTATTTTTTCTTGGTGGAAGCTTTGTGTTTGTTTAGCTAATAAAATATTAAAACTTCAAAATGGTGTACAATTATTTAATTATGTCATCCTGGTATCGCGGACTCGCTCTCGTTTCATACAAACGCAGCTGCTGCCATTTTGCTACGATTGTTTTGTACGCTGTAATGGATTATAAGAGAACTAACAAACTGGTAAGGTTTTAAAACATTTTCGTCTTAATTCTTTTATTGCCTTAATTATTTTTGTGGTGAAATGTTGTGTAATAAGTGGTTTGACTGCACCGTTTCCCTTAAATGTCCGTCTAGTTTGAATTTGCCGCTTGCTTCACGGAAGCTTTGCATTCAAATATTTCAACTCAAATCAATATTTCGCGTCTAATTATTTACTCATGTGGCAAGTAGCCGTGTAATAAGCGGGATAATGTACATCCAACCGGTTGTTATCTCAGAATAAACCCCTTCAGGTTGATACAAGAACCTGATCACCCTGTCCGGGTTTATTCTGAGATAACAACCGGCTGGATGTACATTATCCCTTACATACTTGTGGATGTGTGATAGTGTTTGAATTATTGCCATCCCTTCCGCTCAATGTGTGGTTTCAAACCAAACCCATTTGGCAAAGCGAATCATCAGTGACAGATTGAGAAGGATGAAAGCCATATAAAGTGCAAAAGTAATCAGAGCGACTGAAATCCATCACCACTGAAGAAAAGCAGTCAATGAGGATGAAGAGAGAGGGGAAGAGAATAGATGAAGTAGCTCAAGCAACACAAAAGCCACCCAGTGAGATCAGAGTGATTGATTTTACTCTACCAATGCGCCATTTGGAGATTAAAATCCGAGAGCTATTGCGCAGAGCTGCGAATCAAAGGATGTTCGGCTAAAAAATGAGCAGAGATCACTTAGAATCTATTCTGAGCTAAATTGTTTATAAGGATCCTATTGCATTAATGAGGTCTGACTAACAAAAATGCAGGTGATCTGATTCATTGATGCAAACGCTGAGCTATTTCTGCTGTCGGGGCGAATCCAGCATCCATGCTGAAGTGTTGGTCAGACTCCAGTCATTGACCAAATCACTGCAATGGCATCTGAAAAAGTCTTTAACACATGCTACATCTGGTCCTCTGAACTATTTTATTCTTAATATGCTGTAAACAAAGCAAAGGGGGAAAAACACAGTGAGATGGCAAGACTTAAAAAGAGTTAAAAATGCTTGTGCTAAATGTTTGTTTAACTTGGACAGTTTTGGCCTTGTGGACGTTTAGAAAATAAACTCTCTAAAATACACTCTGACAGTTGAAGTACTTTGTTGACTTACAGTTACCAACATGGAAAAATTATAATTATTATTATTTTTTAATTCTTTAATTATTGTTGCTATAATATATTTAAATAAAAATTATAATAGATCTAAAAATACATTTTAACAAATCTAATAAATTTATAACAATATTTATTTATTTATTTATTTATTCATAAAAATATTTATATTATTTACATATATTTATAATATCATACTTTTTAATAATAATAATTCATATTTTATAGTATTATTAATTATATTATAATTAAAAGTATTATTTAATAATTATTTAATAATAATTATTATTTTTTATATTTTATTTAAAAACTAAGCTAATGAGAAATTATCAAAAAAATTATAACAGAACAAAAATTATATAAATGTATATAATATTATTATTATTATTATAATTTTTATTATTACTATTATGTCATAAATACACAGATATTTTTACTAGCTTCTTTGTTTTTTTGCTAATTTCTTATTACTTTTATTTCTTAATAATAATAATAATAATAATAACTATTATCATTATGATTATATTGTATATACATTTATACAAATTTTAAAAATAAATTAAGTTAATAACAAGTTTTCTTCAGCATTAAACTGATTAAAAGTAACAGTAAAAACATTTGTAAAGAGATTTCACAGTAAAGAGATTACTACTATTACAGTGAAGACTGCAGAAATGATGCTGAAAATTCAGCTTTGCATCACAGAAATCAATTATATTTCAAAATATTCAAAAATATAAGAGAGTTATTTTAAATTGCAATAATATTTCACAATATTGCTGTTTTTATTGTATTTTTGATCAAATAAATGCAGCCTTGGTGAGCAGAAAAGATAAAAAAAACATCAAAATCTTTCATACTTCAAGTATATATAGACATATACTTTTTTAAATAACATTTTAATACCATTTTACTATTGCATTTAATAGGTAGCAAATAAGTAGCGATAAATAATAAAGGCATGCAGTAAAAAGTTTCCAAGAAAGTTTAAATGTGACTTTTATGTTTTAAATGACTAACTCAATCCCCGGGACATAAAAGTGCCTGTTGTTGAAGAAACATCCATCCAGCCTCTCTTCTCACCTTCTCTTATCATGCGAACGGTTTCCATCTCCTCAGGGGATTGTGGGTAGGCCACATCAATTACTCTGTGACTCCAGCCCATCGCTCAACAGGGGCTTATTAATAAGTTCAGCTTGTTTTATTGTGGCTTTCTGGCCTATTAGAGCTTGTGAGAGAGCGACCCGGCGACCGCAGCTCAGCCTTCTGGATCTGGATTCCTGTGGGGGGGAAATGTGCGACGCTGACAGATTCACCGCAGCTCTCTGGCCTCTGCGCTTTACTCAGCAGAACGCTCGGTTTTGTCTTTGGGGGCCATCAGACAAGCCAGACGTCTCATTTGAGGTGCTGCTGGCAGGTTTCGGGGGGAACAGAGGGGTAATAATAGGGCGTCTGAGTGAGACCTTGACATAAGAGCTGGATCCAGAGTAAAAGAGGCGTGCAAAAAAAAATGCATCAGAAGCCAAACTATCCGCAGTTCGCTCGGGAAACAAGGTCCCTGATATTCAGGCTGCTGTCTTCGAGAGCGTGTGTATGTTTGTTTCTGTTTGGATGTGGCCGGATGTGAAGCCGGTTGCTAACTTAAGGATTCATAATGCCATCCTGAAGTGTTTTATGACTTTTCCAACTATTACGGTCGACGCTCCCAAGATCTGTTTTCAGCTTCAGAGTACAAACACACACACACACACACACACACACACACACACACACACACACACACACACACACACACACACACACACAGATAAAAAGTGTCTTTTTCTTATGAGCATCAGTTTCTGTCACTCACTAATGGTAATATTGGCATTCAAGTTCAGTGTGACTAAACGACAAAGTATTAAATATTCATTTTTTGTGTTTAAAAAAAAAAATTGGTGAATCTCACAACAAATATCCAGATCATATTATAAATCCCCCCAAAAAAGAGAGGGAGAGAGAGAAAAACTAAATATTAATACATTTAAAAAAATGTAATAAAAATTATACTAGATTTTAAAATATTTTTAAAATGGTATACATTTATAAACATTATATTAAGAATGTATTATTTAAAAAATAATGTATTATTATTAGTAGTAGTAGTACTCTGAATATAAAAAATACATAACAATGAATCATCATATAATCTTTTTTTTCTTAGAAATTTAAATTTAGCAGCACATGTAATTCAGACTTAAACTGATGCAAGTCTGCTGTTTTGTTAGTCGTTCATAAATCACGGCTCAGTAATACAGAGGCCTGCTTTGATTGGTTGCAGTAACGCAAAGCAAAGCTGTGATTGGCTAAAGAGGTGCACAGAACAGTTGTGATTGGCACACACATACACACACTTATTATTCAGGTTGTAAAGCTGCTGTGTGTCATTTTTTGGATGTTAAAACACTAAAATAATGCTTAATATGCAGAAACCACTATAAAGAAACAATCCTTATTTTCACAAATTCGTTTGGTGACGCCAATGGCTCATAAATTACACACTGCAGCTTTAAACAGCATTATGACCAATCAGTGCTTTTTAATAACGTGTAAAGTTGAAGGGAAATGTGTTCAGCAAATCAAGCAAGCAAAGTTAAACAGAAAAAAAAAGTCGACTAGAGCAGGAAAGCACATAACTCTTCACATTCAGTAATCTTGATTTCCTAAGTTTGATATATGGTCATAAATGCATCAAGTTCATATCTCATGCGTAAGTGTCTTTTTGCGTTCAACTTTCAGTTTAGAGCTCCCACGATGCCTGTAAATCCTCCTCCGTGACTAGACTAATGGAAACACTAACATATGTATGTAAATGACGCGTAACTAAAGGACAATGTGCTCACTGTAAAACACTAGAGATGACCAGAACACTCATTTCTCACTGTATGCTCTGAACGTCGAGTGAAACTCTGAGATTTGGTTCCACCTCATAAAATCAAGCCAAACTCTGGACTTCACAGAACATTACGTTCAGAGTTTCCATCAGAAGTCTCTTAAACCCAGCGCTTTTGCTTTAACAATGTCTGGAGTTCACTAGGACGTCAATGTGAAATCAGAATCAGCCCTGTGTACTAAATGAATCCTTTAACAATTCATTAGTGCACATTATTTGTATATGATCTTCATAATCTTCCATCAAAACTTAATTATATCTAAAACTATTTTTATTTTGGTTGACGTCACCGATCGCCCTTATTTTTTATCATCTAGTGACCTATCTAGTCATCTAGTTCTTCCAATTTCCTTTGGATAAAACTAGTAAAGACTGTTAGATGTCTTGACTGCAGTTGCAGCAGCTGGCCAGGTGGAGTGGTGTGGTGTAGAGAGAACTCACCTACACAGGTCTTCCCATCAGAGTGAAGCGCAAACTTCATGTGACATGAACATCTGGGTCCGTGGTCCATCTCCTCACAGATGTGCTGACAGCCGCCGTTACCATAGTTACACGTCACTAAACCGGAACAACAGAATGAGAGATTAGAGATCACTAACCATTTCCATCCATCGTTCTGTCCATCCATCGTTCTGTCCATCCATCCATCCATTCATTCATCTATCTATCTATCCATCCATCCATTGTTCTATCCATCAATCCATATATCTATCCATCCATCATTTTGTTCATCCATCCATCATTCTGTCCATCTGTTGATCCATCCATCCATCCATCCATCGTTCTGTCAATCCAATCATTCATTCATCCATCCATTTATCTATCCATCATTCTGTCCATCCATCCATCTATCCATCCATTGTTCTGTCCATCCATTCATTCATCCATCCATCCATGTATGCATCTATCCATCCATTGTTCTATCCAATCATCCATCCATTCATTAATTCATCTAGCCATCCATTTATCTATCTATCTATCTATCTATCTATCTATCTATCTATCTATCTATCTATCTATCTATCTATCTATCATTTTGTTCATCCATCCATCCATCATTCTGCCCATCTGTTGATCCATCCATCCATTCATCCATCCATCCATCATTCCATCGATCGATCGATCCATCCATCCATCCATCGTTCTGCCAATCCAATCATCCATCCATCCATCGTTTTTGCCAATCCAATCATCCATCCATCCTTCATTCTGCCCATCCGTTGATCCATCCATCCATCCATCCGTTCGTCCATCCATCATTCCATCCATCCATCGTTCTGCCAATCCAATCATCCATCAATCTGCCCATCCATCCATCATTCTTTCTACCCATCCATCCATCCATCAATTTATCCATCCATTCATTCATCTATCTATCCATCCATCCATTGTTCTATCCATCAATCCATATATCTATCCATCCATGATTTTGTTCATCCATCCATCATTCTGTCCATCTGTTGATCCATCCATCCATCCATCGTTCTGTCAATCCAATCATTCATTCATCCATCCATTTATCTATCCATCATTCTGTCCATCCATCCATCCATCCATTGTTCTATCCATCCATTCATTTATCCATCCATCCTGTCCATCCATCCATGTATGCATCTATCCATCCATTGTTCTATCCAATCATCCATCCAT